GTACCCCTTGACATGTCATATCTCTAGATTGTACCCCTCATTTAAGAAATTTAGTGAGTAATCGTATTGTTAATTTTACATATTGTAACTTTAAATTAAAGAAAAAAAACCTAAAAGAAAAAATGTATAATAAAGTTGTGATTGTTGCAAGGAACATTTTTTATCTAATAATTTTTTAATACTATTAGTTTGTGATACATAATATATTATTTTTTCTGCCATAATAACTAACTTTTTTCTGTACCCCTAAACAACCTATCGCGTACCCCTAGGGGTACACGTACCACAGGTTGGGAATCGCTGTTCTATTGTAATGTTTCTGAAGATGAGCCAGGAACAGAACAAAGGTGTATAAGAGGGAAGATGGGCTAGTGGTGGCATAGAATGACTTATTGTGTCATAAATGACCCAAACCTCTGGAACAAGAGTGCTAGAATCTTAGTTTGAATGGATGGCAGAGAACCTAGTTGAACCTAGAGAACTAAAAATTAATAAGGAAATATATCACGTAGTTGTTGCGCATGTGCGTGGACATGTGCACTAAATGAATTGAATGGAACATAACACTTAGGTAATCCTTAAGCCAAAAATTGTAAATTTCTTGCCGATCGGGTTTAGGCTTAAGTTATAAGCCTAATTTTTACTTTTGAATCGAATATTAAAACTTGGAGATTATTAAAGATTAGTATCTGACTATCATCATTATATGATATTATATTTAATCAGTAAACTATTGTGCTAATTATTTTATGCCAAATCATATTTAATTTTTTAATAATGTATTAAATATAATCTACAGTACACATTCTTATAAAATAATTGTATTTTTGGGCTTTGAAACAATTGTACACCTATAAATTCCCACTGTTGTCCATCTGTCTTTCCTTAATCTCGAGAACGGAGTTAGTTGAAAGACAAGACCAGATATGGAACCTTAGGGACAGGAGGCTCCAATTAACTATATACGAACTTCCAATGCAAACTGGAAGTCATAATTTCAATTCAAAAATTTTCCCTTGAAAGGTGTAAGATAAATGACTAGCACCACTCTATTGTTAAAAAAAGTATGATGTACAGGAGCAAGCCACTACTAATTTGAGGTGGAGAGCATATATTTTAAATTAAATACAGGGGGTGCAAAAGTAGGTATACAGTAGTATCACATTAGTGTTATGATGCTTAATTCATTAAAATTATTAGCACATTAAATTAGTTGGCCTTATTTTTGATATTTTTGGTGTCATTAATTGTATCTTTACCTTTTTAAACTTATCTAAACCTCTATCAAACATTTAGATAGGTGACCTTTGTTCCAGAGTGTGCATGAGTGTCCACTCTCAATTAGAAGAGTGTGTGAATAATGACAGCAAGCAGTCTGAGTACCTGAGGGATTAAGGCTGTGCTTGTTATTACATGTATGTGCAATATTTGTTTGTTTGTATAATAAATGCAATGAGTATTGTGCCTGTTTGTATAATAAATGCAATGAGTATTGTGCCTGTTTGGAATACTTGCTTATTTTAATAATAAGCAAGTATTCCAAAAACAAGAAAAAAATATATTATTTTTCATGATTATATTAGGTTGTTCGGAAAGTAATTTCATTTTTTTTACCACTACATGGATTAGTCGTATTTTTCCCGCCATTTTCATTCTAAACCATATTATCATTATATATTTTGACATCTAGCATTTTAACACTTATTTGTAAAAAATTTTGTTTGATTTTGTGCAATTTTTTATTTTTTGTCCCATCAAATATGGAAGATCGAAAGTAGCATTTTTGGCATATTTTGCTCTTTTATTACCGAAAAGGTAAGAATACTGTTCAAGCAAGAAAAAAATTGTGTGACGTGTATGGAGAAGATGTATTGACAGAATGACAGTGCCAAAACTGGTTTACAAAATTTCGTTCTGGCAATTTCAATATTGAAGATGCACCATGTTCTGGATGGCCAGTTGAAGCCAATGAAAACAAAATAAAAGATACTGATTGAAGCAAACTGCCGAATAACAACACGTGAAATCACTAAGAGATTAAATTTGTCAAATTGAACTGTTTATGATTACTTGAAACAAATTGGTTTCCTTTCAAAGCTTGATATATGAGTTCCACATGTTCTTAAGGAGAGATGCTATCTTTGATGGGATTTTAAGGAAATATTTTTTTTGGAGCTTTTATCAGACAATTTAACAATTGATTCGAAAGTGTACTGCCATCGAGTAAACAAATTGAGTAATACCATCAAACAGAAAAGGCAGCCAGAATTGATCAACAAAACAGGTGTAGTGTTTTACCACGATAATGTCAAATTTCACACAAGTTTGGTAACTCGTCAGAAACTGTTATAACTTAGATGGGACCTGCTATCGCACCAACCGTATTTGCCAGATCGAGCACACTCAGATTATTAGTTGTTCCAGTCTATACAATTTTTTTTAACTGTAAGATATTTACTTGAAATGACAATGTCAAAAATCACTTGGATCAGTTTTTTGTAAGCAA